GTCAAAAATTAAAAAGCAATAATATTCCAAGTAGAGGCTCTAATAGTGGCACAAATCAAGTTAGAGAGGGAAGGTAGTTCTTGCAATGAAAGGCCTATTGACTAGCACTTTGTCTATTATAGTATAAAGGTTAGGAACCTACATGTTGCTTTTGTTATCTTTTATTTTCTACATTTCTTACAATAGATAATGAAACTCCTTGGCTTCTCTTTCAGGTCTTTAGGTACATAGTTTACCTTAAGGAAGCCTTCTAGAACTATTGTCCTCCATCTTATGAAAGATCCGAGACACGTGAAACTAAGACCAGGGCTTCACTTCAACCTTTCATGTATCTCCCACATAGGTTAGAACAGATAATTTGTAAATAAACTCCGTTCTGCTACCTAAAGGCAAAGACCAGTTTGTCTCTCTTAAAAGGCAATAAATTTTCTCCAAGACTGCAATTTGAAGAGAGAGAGAATTTGAAGCATAAGCAAGTAGAATATCAAATACTTTCCATTATTTCATTATCTCTTTTTCTTGAACGGCCCTTCATTTAGTTATGTGTCACTGATTTGGACCCAAAGTTTTGACTACCAATTTTTACTTGCTTTGTTTTGCATTTGGAGAGGAATAGGACCACATATACGTTTACAGTGCTACCCTAATTTTTCTAAAGCACCAATCTATCTTAATAAAAAGAGAATTGATGCCTCTGAGCTGTGGTGGTGGAGAAGAGTGTTGAATATACCATGAACTGCTAGGAGAACAAACAAGTTTGTCTTGGAGAGGGTGAGACCAGGCTGCTTCTTGGAGACAAGGATTCTGAAGGTTTGCCTGACATACCTGGGACATGTTGCAAGGAAGGACCAGTCCTTCGAAAAGGACCTCATGTTTGGGAGGGTGTAGGGGACAGGGCAAGAGAGGAAGACCCTCGATGAGATGAATCGATTCAATGATTAGGGTAATAGGACTAGGCGTGTTGGCACAGGTTAGAGCAGAATTTAGGGCTTTAGTACATAGGGTCTCGATGAGTTGCAAGCAACTTGATAGCACCTAACAACAACAAAAACATTTACATTTAAAATTATATTATTATAATTTTCCTCATAAACATTATATGCTTGTATTTCCTTGTTTGCCTTATTTAAAGTTGATTAGTACTTTTACATAATTTGTTTCACTAGCCTCTGTCTGTTTACTATTTTTTTTTTATAGTTACGACAAAGAACTTTCAACAATGGGTAGTGTTTAGGTTATTTTAAGAAAATTTAGGTGAACTCACCTTTTAATTACCTATATACTATTTTTGTTAAGTATTTTAATTGTATGGGTGTTTATGGTTGGAAGATAATTTCTTATGGTTTTTTTTTTTTTTAGAAAAACAGACTTGTACTAAGTAGGGTTTATACGATCAATAATATTTGCATAGAGAACTCTTTAAGGTAACAGAAGAATGCCTAGTTCTCTTTAAAAAAATTCAGATTTGCTTATAGCTTTGGAAGTTGGAAATAATAACTTATTTTATGTAAGGTATCATACTTTTCACTGGAAATGATATAAAAAATCCTGGTACTTTAAATATACTGAACACCAGCCAAGCACTTGGTTCATTAGTAAAACCTTGGTAATTTGAACTCACTCTGGAGGAGAAATGTGACAGTGTGCTTACACAAAAATGATACCTTTTCATGTATTATAGGTAGTTTTCCTCTGTTGTATACAGACTCTTAAGAGTTAAAATTAATGTGATGGCAATAAACAGGGCAAAAGAAAACTGTTCTCTAAATCTGAGATGCCTCTACTAGAACATCCTCAGTTATAAGGGCAGGAACCCATTGTGTTCATCCTATAAGAATCAAAAAGCAGGTCCGTGGTCCCGGCTCGCGTGGCGGCGGCGGCAGCTTCTCCGTGAGGAGGCGCACGGGGCCATGCCGTCAGGGTCCACCAAGGTCGGAGAGATCTTCTCGGCGGCCGGCGCCGCCTTCACGAAGCTCAGGGAGCTGACGATGCAGCTGCATCCCGTGGCCGACTCTTCGCCCGCGGGTGCGAAGTGGACGGAGACGGAAATAGAGATGCTGAGGGCTGCTGTGAAGCTATTTGGGGACGATCTTAATCACATCAGCTGTGTCATCAAGGAACGGACAGTGGCTCGGATAAAGGC